TTTTTTTTTTTTTTTTTTTTTTTTTTTTTTTTTTTTTTTTTTTTTTTTTGTTCGGGGATGGCAGTGGGCTTGTTGCTCAGCAACTGCAGCAGCAACATCAGCAGCAGCAACTGCAGCAGCAACTGCAGCAGCTGCTATTGTTACTGCTGCTGCTGCTGCTGCTGCAGTTGTTACTGCTGTATCCTTTATGTATGGTGTTCTATCATTTGCATCTCCTTGTGCATACTCTACCCTCTGCTGCTGCTGTTGCTGCTGCTGCTGCTGCTGCTGCTGCTGCTGCTGTTGCTGCTGCTGCTGCTGCTGCTGCTGCTGCTGCTGTTGTTGCTGCAGGAGTCCTTGATAATCCGTGCTCAGCACGATGTGCCAGCATTTGAGTTTCTTGAGGAGACACCTCGGCTAACATTTATAGAAGGGATAGAGATGTTGCGTGATGCTGGGATCGGTTTAGATACGATCCCACAAGACCCCACAAACTTTGATTTATCTACAGAACTAGAAAGGGCCCTGGGGGCCCTCGTAAAAAAAAAATATAAAACGGATTATTATATTCTTCTTAGATATCCAACTGCTGTTAGGCCCTTCTACTCTATGCCTTGCCCGGATGACCCGGTACGTATATGTATTTATATTTATTTATTTATTTATTTATTTATTTCTATGTATATATATTTGTTTGTTTGTTTGTTTGTTTGTTTGTTTATTTATATAGTTTTAGAGGATAGAGAGAGATATGTAGAGAGATAGATAGATAGATAGATAGATAGATAGATAGATAGCTAGCTATATGTATGTATGAGGTGGTATAGATAGCTGACGCTGTGTGTGGCTAGCTAGCTAGGTAGCTAGACTTGTATATCTATAGCTAGCTAGGTAGCTAGACTTGTATATCTATAGCTAGCTAGCTAGCTAGCTAACATTGTATATAGCTAGCTAGCTATCTTACATTATTTACACCTAGCTAGCTAGCTAGCTAGCTAGCTAGCTAGCTAGATAGCTACAATAGAATATAATGCAGTATATTAATATAAATATAAATACAAACATAAAAAGCAAATACAAATGTAAACAACCATAAGTAAATAAATATAAATATAAATATAAATATAAATATAAATATAAATATAAATATAAATATAAATATAAACACAAACATAAATATAAATGTAAACATAAACATAAATATGAACATAAATATAAAGACAAAGACAAAACTAGATAAATAAAAACGTTGTTTGTGTGTATAAACACAAATATAAATATAAATATAAATAAATAAATATAAAGTCAAAGACAAAGACAAAGAAAAACCTAGATAAATAAAAACATTTGTTTGTGTGTATAAACACAAATATAAATATAAATATAAATATAAATATAAATATAAATATAAATATAAATATATAAAGACAAAGACAAAGACAAAGCCAAATAAAAACCTAGATAAATAAAAACATTTGTTTGTGTGTATAACACAAATATAAATATAAATAAATAAAAATAAAGACAAAGACAAAGACAAAGCCAAATAAAAACCTAGATAAATAAAAACATTTGTTTGTGTGTATAAACACAAATATAACTATAAATATAAATAAATAAAAATAAATATAAAGACAAAGACAAAGCCAAATAAAAACCTAGATAAATAAAAACATTTGTTTGTGTGTATAAACACAAATATAACTATAAATATAAATATAAATATATAAAGACAAAGACAAAGCCAAATAAAAACCTAGATAAATAAAAACATTTGTTTGTGTGTATAAACACAAATATAACTATAAATATAAATATAAATATATAAAGACAAAGCCAAATAAAAACCTAGATAAATAAAAACATTTGTTTGTGTGTTTGTGTTTGTAGAGGTTCTCTAACACTTTCGATATATTTATGCGGGGCGAGGAGATAGCTTCAGGGGCGCAGCGGCAGCACGATGCTGCGCTGCTGCAGCAGTGCTGCAGCAGCAGAAATATAAACACACAGCAGCTACGCAGCTACATTGAGGCCCTGCAGCTGGGGGCCCCCCCCCATGCAGGCATGGGGGCTGGGCTCGAGAGGATCGTTATGCTTTACTATGGTATTATATATATATATATATATTTTTTTTTGTTTTGTCTTTGCTTTTTTTTTTTTTAGTTTTTATCGTATGTCGTGGTGATGCTGCTGCTGCTGCTGCTGCTGCTGCTGCTGCTAGTGGTAGTTTTATTGTTGTTGCTGCTGGTGCTGTGTTTATGCTGCTGCTGCTGCTGCTGCTGGTATTCCTGCTGCTGCTGCTGCTGCTGCTGCTGCTGCTGGCAGACAGCAGCAAGATGCTGCTGCTGCTGGCAGACAGCAGCAAGATGCTGCTGCTGCGTGGTTTGTTTGCTGCAGGCCTCGGCAACATCCGGAGAGTTTCTCTCTTCCCCCGAGACCCCAAACGCCTGTACCCATGATCCTGCTGCTGCTGCTGCTGCTGCAGTTGCTGCTGCAGTTGCTGCTGCAGTTGCTACTGCAGTTGCTGCTGCAGTTGCTGCTGCAGTTGCTGCTGCAGTTGCTGCTGCAGTTGCTGCTGCAGTTGCTGCTGCAGTCGCTGCTGCAGTTGCTGCTGCAGTCGCTGCTGCAGTTACTGCTGCAGTTGCTGCTGCAGTTGCAGTTGCTGCTGCTGCTGCAGCACAGAAGCAGCAGCAGCAGCTATGGGGGGGACTGCATCAGGCTGTCTCTCTGTCTCCTCCTCTCCCTAAACCCCAAACCCTAAACCCTAAACCCTAATTTATGCTGTTACATCTTTTGTTGCAGCCGATGCTGCACGCAGCGGGTTCCTTCTCCTGCTGCTCCCACTGCTGCTGCTGCTGCTGCTGCTGCTGCAGTTACTGCTGCTGCTGCTGCTGCTGCTGCTGCTGCTGCTTAACTTGATTCTTTGTGTGTGTCTGACCCCTCGCTGTGCTGACGGCTTCTTCGTGGGGGTTTAGGAGGGGGGGGTGGACGTGTTTGGGGTGCATGTGCAGCTGCTGCTGCTGCTGCTGGTGCTGCTGCTGCTGTTGCTGCTGCGTGTTCATGTGAATGTCCAGCTGCTGTTGGTGCTGCTGCTGCTCCTGCTCCTCCTTCATGCTCAGGTGTATGCGCATGTTCTGTTGCTGCTGCTGCTGCTGCTGGTGCTGCTGCTGCTGCTTCGTGTTCAGGTGTATGTGCATGTGGTGGTGGTGGTGGTGGTGGTGGGTGGTGATGGTGGGGTGTATGCTCAGCTGTATGCTCAGGTGTATGCTCAGCTGTATGGGCAGTATCTGCTGCTGCTG